ATATAGTTTCGAATGATTGTTTTAGAGGATGACTCAAGTATTCTTATCAAATCATAGAGCGAAGTGAGCCAAAGTTTGTGTAATCACACGTTATAATTGCTCTCTCGAAACTTAAATAAAAGACACCAGAGAAATACCCATGATCAACAGGTTGCACGTAGTCCTAATCAAATCTTGATTTGTATCGTCACTACGACCGAGCTAAAAAGAGTCTTATCTTCTCTCTTCAGAGAAAAACTATCACTCATTAGAAGAACTCTCCGACGCTCTCATCAACAGAGAAGTCGAAGGTATCCTAGTAGATACATACGCCGGTGGAATGCGCCAAGATCTCTTTTCTAAGCCTTCAATTCGAGTGACCCAAATCGTTGATTATCAAACCGCGTATGGGATAGTCATAAGTGGAGATTCGATGCGCCTTAGAAAGTGTTTCCATGATTACATGCGCTCGCATCAAGCAGAGATCTTTCAATATGTTGACCAACTTGTCGAACCTATAAAGGTAAGTATGAGTTTTAGTTACGTCTTTTACTGGGCTTTATTGAGATGCTTTTTAGCATCCTTTTAATAGCTAGAAAACTGTTACCTGCCCTTAATTAGTAAGCCTAAAAGAGGATGGGATTGCTTTCTAAAAGATAATGACTTCCAACACCATCATCTGCCTTGTCCCGCTTTCTCGCTCAACCGTTATTTCAATCATCCAATGGATATAAGCAACTTTGAAAACGATTTCCTCGTTTAACTGTCTTCATATGAAACCAAAATTTACAATTCTGTTTAAGAAATACTTCGAGGCTTTAGAAGGCGATTTTGAAGACGATTTTTGTTCGAAATCACAAGCCAAAATATGCACAGGAAAGATTCGCAATGCTATAAATGAAATAAAAGGACTCATATCAGCATAATGAAATCCCCAAGCGTTTTCATTTTCTTTTAACGGTAAGCATAATTTCTTTGGCGGTAATGAACAACTTAAATTGTTCTTACGCCACAGGGATCGGGACTGAGCGACAGGGAAGATATTCAAGATATCTCGACTGGTTTGTTTGACAAAGAAAGTGACCTTTATCAAAGCACACTTATCATTATAGCCGCTTGTGCAATAACAGCTGCTGCACTGGGGCTGCTCTTTGAAGCAATCCGGAGACTACGAGAGCGGAAAAGAGTTCACGCCTGCGGTAAGCGATAACCAATTATACTGATTAGAACACATTTCGATTTCAAATGTTCTGAAACCTAACGCAAAATAATGTTAACTACAGTCGCCAATCATAACAGAAGAAATACCTCAAAGAGAAAATGGGAACTTAAAGTAGATCCATAAAACACTTCGCTAAACGCG